TTTGAGCAAGGACACATTCAGACTCAACATGCTCATCCTTTGTTTTTCCACTAAAGCAGGATTTTCCCATTCCCAAACCTTGGACAGATGGAGGAGGAGGAGGCTGTGAGGAAGAGGAGGATGTCCCAGGACCCCAAGGCAGGTGAGGAGGAAGTCACTGCTCCTTTTCCCTCTCTTCTCCTCCATCTCCCAGCCCAGCATCACCTCTGGCTGCAGGACAACCTCACTGCTGATGCCGTCCTGCCAGGGATGGATTGGGGGGATTTCCTTCCCCTTCCCTCTGGCACAGCGGCAAATCCCATCCTCTCCTTGTCCTTCCTTCCCCAGACAAAGAGCTGAGGATGGAGACCAAGGAGGAAAAATCCCCCCAGCAGAACCTCGTGGAAGAGGCTGTTTTGAGCGGGTCCACAGCAAAGGAATCCAATGGAGAGGAAACGCCGTGGAGATCGCACAAAAAGAGGGGCTCCAAACCCAGGCCAGGGTGCTCTGAGAGGAAAAGACCCACCCTGTGCCAGGAAGGCACTCAGAGCTTCAACTGGGGCTTGGAGCTGGGGGTCCTTGAGGAGCTTCACGCTGGGGAGAAGCCCTACAAGTGCTTGGAGTGTGGGAGGAGCTTCAGCCGGAGCAACGATCTGCTCCGTCACCGGCTGATCCACACTGGGAAATGGCCCTATGAGTGTGGGGAATGTGGGAAGGGCTTCAGGTGTAGCTCTGAACTGATCCGCCACGAGCGCATCCACACAGGGGAGAGACCCTATGAGTGTTCTGAGTGTGGGAAGAGGTTTCAGAACAGCTCCAGTCTTCTCAAACACCAGCGGACTCACACAGATGAGAGGCCCTTCCGCTGCCCCGACTGTGGGAAGGGCTTCAAGCAAAACTCAAACCTCATCACCCACCAGCGCATCCACACAGGGGAGAGGCCCTACGAGTGTTCCCAGTGTGGGAAGTGCTTCAGCCGGAATTCTCATTTGACCAAACACCAACGCCGGCACTGGTAAGGGAAGCCCCTGTGAGTGCCCTAAGTTTGGGAAGAGCTCCATGCGGTGCTCCAACTTCATCCCCCATCAGAGGACTCACGTTGGGCAGACACCTGGTGACCCACATTCCTGGTAATCCCCATACAGACGACACCTGGCTGGTGGTCTCCACATCCTCCTGGATCCCTGTAAGCACCTGCATGAGCACAGGGGCAGGAAC